AGGGGTTCAAAAGTTAAGGGAAAGTCCTTTGTGACTAAATGAAGCATGGCTTTCCGGCCCAAACCAGTTTCAGAGTCTTCTATCCTTGAGAGTAATTCAATTATCTCCCAGGACAGACACAAGACTCCATTAAGCACATGGTTGCAAAAAGACACAAAACACTTTAAAATACATAAAGTCACATTTTATACATAAAACACAGACATGTCACATATCCCCAGATAGTTGGGATCTGAGCGCACAAAACTACCGAATAGCGCTCAGATCCTATTCACACAGTTCAATTGCCATGTAGCCGAAGTCTTTAACTACACGAATGGGCTCCATGGCATAGCTATCTGGGTTAATAACTTCACATAAAGTCTGGTCCATAGTCCAAAGGCAAGAGGCAGGCAAGCAGCCCCCTCCAAGGACACGTGGCGAGGCCGGTTTCGCCACATTTCTCCTCTTTACCATCCAGACTAACAGGGTATCTGACCTCCTGCCGGTCAGTGCCCTGGTTAGTCCAGCAACCCACCCACGAAGCACAAACAGCAATACAGCCCACCCACAATAACTGGTTACTACACCTGGATAAAATAGCAACTTGTCCATGTCCAGGTGCCTCACCACGGCTGTGCGGGGGGCTGGTAGACTGCCTTGGTGTGTTGCTGAGTGGGCAGAGACCAGCGGTACTCTGCCCGGGTGCCAGCGCTACCACTGAAGTAGCCTGGTTGGAGCCTGGTTGTGGGAGACCGACTGTCTCCCCTCTGGATACACTGCTCTGTGGCTGGGGGACAGGACCGACCGACCCTACCCCTGGTGCTGCAAGTGCAGAGACTACAGTCCCATCTGCATAGTTGTGGGGCTTAACATCTCCCCTTGGTGGGTTAGGCTGCCGCTGGAGAGAGGGTGTAACAAGCTCCTCTCTCTGAACTGTAGACTGCCGCTGGGGAGAGGGGGTAACCTGCTCCTCTCCCTGACACTCTCTTTGTTGGTGGAGAGGGGGACCAACTGTCTCCCCTTTCAATATTTTGTCCTGTGGCTGGGGTGAAAGACAGACTGTCTCCGCTTCCTGCAGGACACACTGCCGCTGGGGAGGAAGGACTGCACCTTCCGTTCCCTGGGAAAAAGACTGCCGCTGAGGAGGAAGGACCGCACCTTTGGCTCCCTGGAACTCACACCTTTGCTGGGGAGGAAGGATAGCACCTTCGGCTCCCTGTGATACATACTGCCGCTGGAGATCTGGGCCGACCGCCCAGCATCCCTGTAGGGCCGGTAGAGAGACCGCCATCCTATCTCCACCTGCCATCTGTGGGTCTTCCCAGGACCAGTCTATGAGGTCCCCTACTTCTGCAGCTGGTAGTGAAGCAGGGGGTACCTCGGCTGCGTTTTCCCAGCTGTAGGTTGGCAGGTCTGGGTCCCCCAGCCAGTTTTCCTGTTCTGTGTCTATGCCCTGTGGCTGACATGAGTTTAGTAGTTCCACATAGTCCATCTCTAGCTGTCGTTCCATGGCAGCCAAACGGTGGAGGTCTTGTCCCAGTCCCATAGATCTCGGGCCCTGTACCATCTCACCTCGGTAATAAAAGATAGCCCAGTACCGTGACTCTGCTGGACTGCCAAAGTTGACGTCTTCTGCTAAGGCCTTCCACAACAGGCCAGGGCTAGTGTAGTTCTCCCCCTCCGGCTGGATGCCCTCTGCCCTCCACGTCTCTGGCTGGACAGTGCACCACCACAGTGCCCGGTATGAGGCGTCAAGGCTCAGTTCCCGTTCCACGAGGTACTCAAGTTGTCTGACCTGCTGCCCTCTGGGTTGGTCTCCCAGAAGCGGCATCCGCCAGGCCATTTGTTCCTCCAACTGGTATGCGACACCAGGAAGGCGCTGCTGCCGTTGATACTGGACTTCTTCCAGGGCATCGTACCATAGTTCTTGCCAGGCAATATCTCTCCATTCCAATTCACTCTCTTCCTCAGATGTGCGTGTTGCCCAAGGATCCACGAACCCCATTTTCCCAAATCTTTATGTAGACAGGGACGCTGTATAAACACTAGCGTCGCCTTCAATTTGTAAATCCAAATGAACTGTGTCTCTGAGCTGCTTTACCTTGCACTAGGACGCCATCCCACCGCTTGCCACCAATGTAACGGATCGTCTGGCACCCCGACTGGGTACCTCCGTTAAAGGATGCTCCTAGCGCTTCCTGAGGACTCCAAGCACTGCAGCAGACACCACAACCACCGAACCGGAGAAGCATATGAATCCTCTCAAGTATATGAATGCTGTAGACAGTTGAATAGAAACCATACGAATAGGTTTACTCTCCTAGCAGTCAAACTGGAACAGCATACAATGAATCCTTCCCCCAATAATGAGACGACACTTCACTTTGAGGGTTAAACAGGAACTCCAGTGCTGGCACACCCAGCCTGGTTTTTATTACAATCCACAAAACATAGTACTGCCCACAGGGTTTTGCAGAACCACCAATAAACACATTACAACACATACAATGCAAGTACAGCAGCCAATCAGACACAATGGGACAATAGAAACACACCCAGCATATTCCTCCCCTCTGCTTAGGAGATAATTTAGTCAATTACTGTATCTACTCAATTATCTCCAAGCTGAAAAGTTACTTTTTGTACATTTTTATAACTTTGTGAGTTAACATCGTACATACAACGAGGATACATAAACTGACTGAATAACTGATGCAATACAACTCATTCTGAGGTTACCAACAGATTCATTACATATTTACGCACAATAGTTTGTCTAGGGGCAACTACTCCAACCACAATATCTGGGAAAATGAACTGGGTAAATATTTATACAAACAGTTACTGACCTTCAAAATGGGCTCAAAGACCTCCGACATCTTACTGGGGCTGTGGCTTGCAGGAGATAAAGAGATAGCTAAGATAACCATACAGCCGACTCATTACAGATGTCGACTTACCTAGGGAACGGTATAGGGACGGCCGCCCTACTGACATAAGATGATCTCCCCGGACAAACAGACCTCAATATTAAACCGCCCCGAAGAAATCGGACATGCACTTATTACCTAATTAGCTAAAAAGGAGATAACCTCTAATAGCCCTGCTGGACACAATAGGACACGCTCGACTAACAAGACAGCATACCCGAGCATAACCTATTACATGCCCATGGACGCTCTTTAAACACCCTTGTACCTCCCACGAAGCACAATCCAATGCCTCAGACAGTTGATATGAAAAACCTCCAATAAGCCGAACTCAGTCCACGACCTATCATTATCCCAATTCATGATAGCAATCTTAGCAACATATTGACTAAACCAGCTCGAAGTACACAGTTACCCTAAGCTTCTGATTTCTAACATAACATTGCTTAATTGTTGATCATTGGAATTTCGCAAGGACCTGCGTGTCCGGTATATCTTGTTTGAATGCCGCAGTTATGTGTTGATAACTCATATCTTGTCTGGACCTGCGTGCCCAGTACATGGTATCTTATTGCTGCAACTAATAAACAGCTTTGAAATTCAAAAAAAAAAAACCATCGTACATACATAAAACTTACATTTTCATAATCAATCCATTCAGGGGAACAACATATTAAAAAAATGGCACGAATCAGACCAGGGGTTCAAAAGTTAAGGGAAAGTCCTTTGTGACTAAATGAAGCATGGCTTTCCGGCGCAAACCAGTTTCAGAGTCTTCTATCCTGGAGAGTACGTAATTCAATTATCTCCCAGGACAGACACAAGACTCCATTAAGCACATGGTTGCAAAAAGACACAAAACACTTTCAAATACATAAAGTCACATTTTATACATAAAACACAGACATGTCACATATCCCCAGATAGCTGGGATCTGAGCGCACAAAACTACCGAATTGCGCTCACATCCTATTCACACAGTTCAATTGCCATGGAGCCGAAGTCTTTAACTACACGAATGGGCTCCATGGCATAGCTATCTGGGTTAATAACTTCACATAAAGTCTGGTCTATAGTCCAAAGGCAAGAGGCGGGCAAGCAGCCCCCTCCAAGGACACGTGGCGAGGCCGGTTTCGCCACATTTCTCCCCTTTACCATCCAGACTAACAGGGTATCTGACCTCCTGCCGGTCAGTGCCCTGGTTAGTCCAGCAACCCACCCGCGAAGCACAAACAGCAATACAGCCCACCCACAATAACTGGTTACTACACCTGGATAAAATAGCAACTTGTCCATGTCCAGGTGCCTCACCACGGCTGTGAGGGGGGCTGGTAGACTGCCTTGGTGGGTTGCTGAGTGGGCAGAGACCAGCGGTACTCTGCCCGGGTGCCAGCGCTACCACTGAAGTAGCCTGGTTGGAGCCTGGTTGTGGGGGGGGGAGACCGACTGTCTCCCCTCTGGATACACTGCTCTGTGGCTGGGGGACAGGACCGACCGTCCCTACCCCTGGTGCTGCAAGTGCAGAGACTACAGTCCCATCTGCATAGTTGTGGGGCTTAACATCTCCCCTTGGTGGGTTGGGCTGCCGCTGGAGAGAGGGTGTAACAAGCTCCTCTCTCTGAACTGTAGACTGCCGCTGGGGAGAGGGGGTAACCTGCTCCTCTCCCTGACACTCTCTTTGTTGGTGGAGAGGGGGACCAACTGTCTCCCCTTTCAATATTTTGTCCTGTGGCTGGGGTGAAAGACAGACTGTCTCCGCTTCCTGCAGGACACACTGCCGCTGGGGAGGAAGGACTGCACCTTCCGTTCCCTGGGAAAAAGACTGCCGCTGAGGAGGAAGGACCGCACCTTTGGCTCCCTGGAACTCACACCTTTGCTGGGGAGGAAGGATAGCACCTTCGGCTCCCTGTGATACATACTGCCGCTGGAGATCTGGGCCGACCGCCCAGCATCCCTGTAGGGCCGGTAGAGAGACCGCCATCCTATCTCCACCTGCCATCTGTGGGTCTTCCCAGGACCAGTCTATGAGGTCCCCTACTTCTGCAGCTGGTAGTGAAGCAGGGGGTACCTCGGCTGCGTTTTCCCAGCTGTAGGTTGGCAGGTCTGGGTCCCCCAGCCAGTTTTCCTGTTCTGTGTCCATGCCCTGTGGCTGACATGAGTTTAGTAGTTCCACATAGTCCATCTCTAGCTGTCGTTCCATGGCAGCCAAACGGTGGAGGTCTTGTCCCAGTCCCATAGATCTCGGGCCCTGTACCATCTCACCTCGGTAATAAAAGATAGCCCAGTACCTTGACTCTGCTGGACTGCCAAAGTCGACGTCTTCTGCTAAGGCCTTCCACAACAGGCCAGGGCTAGTGTAGTTCTCCCCCTCCGGCTGGATGCCCTCTGCCCTCCACGTCTCTGGCTGGACAGTGCACCACCACAGTGCCCGGTATGAGGCGTCAAGGCTCAGTTCCCGTTCCACGAGGTACTCAAGTTGTCTGACCTGCTGCCCTCTGGGTTGGTCTCCCAGAAGCGGCATCCGCCAGGCCATTTGTTCCTCCAACTGGTATGCGACACCAGGAAGGCGCTGCTGCCGTTGATACTGGACTTCTTCCAGGGCATCGTACCATAGTTCTTGCCAGGCAATATCTCTCCATTCCAATTCACTCTCTTCCTCAGATGTGCGTGTTGCCCAAGGATCCACGAACCCCATTTTCCCAAATCTTTATGTAGACAGGGACGCTGTATAAACACTAGCGTCGCCTTCAATTTGTAAATCCAAATGAACTGTGTCTCTGAGCTGCTTTACCTTGCACTAGGACGCCATCCCACCGCTTGCCACCAATGTAACGGATCGTCTGGCACCCCGACTGGGTACCTCCGTTAAAGGATGCTCCTAGCGCTTCCTGAGGACTCCAAGCACTGCAGCAGACACCACAACCACCGAACCGGAGAAGCATATGAATCCTCTCAAGTATATGAATGCTGTAGACAGTTGAATAGAAACCATACGAATAGGTTTACTCTCCTAGCAGTCAAACTGGAACAGCATACAATGAATCCTTCCCCCAATAATGAGACGACACTTCACTTTGAGGGTTAAACAGGAACTCCAGTGCTGGCACACCCAGCCTGGTTTTTATTACAATCCACAAAACATAGTACTGCCCACAGGGTTTTGCAGAACCACCAATAAACACATTACAACACATACAATGCAAGTACAGCAGCCAATCAGACACAATGGGACAATAGAAACACACCCAGCATATTCCTCCCCTCTGCTTAGGAGATAATTGAGTCAATTACTGTATCTACTCAATTATCTCCAAGCTGAAAAGTTACTTTTTGTACATTTTTATAACGTTGTGAGTTAACATCGTACATACATAAAACTTACATTTTCATAATCAATCCATTCAGGGGAACAACATTTTAAAAAATGGCACGAATCAGACCAGGGGTTCAAAAGTTAAGGGAAAGTCCTTTGTGACTAAATGAAGCATGGCTTTCCGGCCCAAACCAGTTTCAGAGTCTTCTATCCTGGAGAGTAATTCAATTATCTCCCAGGACAGACACAAGACTCCATGACTGCTGACCCATATTCCATCCCCACCGTTGCCCCCAAATAATACACTGGACACCTTTTAGTGGATAAGGGCAACGGCCACAGCTTTATTAAACAGTAAACTTAATTGTTAATTCCTGCCAGCTGTTGGGTGAGGACCCAACAGGCAGTTCTCCTCCTTTGTTGTCCATGAGCCCAACACAGCCGTCGCTAGCCATCAGCCTTGCGCCGACTGTCGTCTCCCCAATGTGACCTTGCGTCATAGTCCTTTCCTTTTCGATTCCGCTGTCCAGGGAAAACCGCCAGCTGTGACAATGAGAAAAACAACACGAAAAAAAACCCACCAACACCACAAACAAACAAAAAAAAACCAGGGAGGGAGGGTGGGAAATTCAACCAGGGTAATGACAATCTCCTTCTGACTGGTAAGTCTCCTCCCCTGCTACCCCCTTATAAATCCTTCCATCTTTGCAACATTGTTGCTACCATTGTACCATCCCACTATCCTGGGCAGCAGTCATGCTCCCCCTTCCCTATTCTGTCCAGGGGGACACTTGACTGCTGACCCATATTCCATCCCCACCGTTGCCCCCAAATAATACACTGGACACCTTTTAGTGGATAAGGGCAACGGCCACAGCTTTATTAAACAGTAAACTTAATTGTTAATTCCTGCCAGCTGTTGGGTCAGGACCCAACAGGCAGTTCACCTCCTTTGTTGTCCATGAGCCCAACACAGCCGTCGCTAGCCATCAGCCTGTCGTCTCCCCAATGTGACCTTGCGTCATAGTCCTTTCCTTTTCGATTCCGCTGTCCAGGGAAAACCGCCACCGTGAAGCCGACCTGCCGCCGCCTGACCTGCGCCGGCTTCGCGCCCCCCCGCAGACAGCGCCATCTCAATGCCCGACTGCAGCCCCACATTAAAAATATCCAGCCCAATGGGATTCAAATGAACCCCATCCGGACGCATCACATCTGAATTATTCCCCTCCAACTCAAAGTGCCGTACCAATATTCCGCCCAAACTACGCACAAAGCGCGAAATAGCAACATTAATCTTGCGCCTACAACGTTCAAACGCCTTCCCATAACCACCCACCTGCCACACTGGACGGGGCACTATCTCTGACCAAATCAACGTCAAGTCACGAAAAAGCGCAAAACAGTGCGCTAGATCATGACGCATGTCGTGAATGAGATCCACCGACCGCCGTCGGCCAACATCATTCCCGCCTGCGTGCAATTTCAGCGTCACGGGGCCCGTGACGCAGCGACTCAGCTGCTCGCACTCGCCGTACACTTGGTCCCAACGTAACCCCCTCAATCCCCGCCAACGTACCCTAACGTCCTGAAACGGGAACCCCAAATTCCGGCCATGAGATCTTGCTTCCGCCCTCCTAGCTGCCCAGTAAATATAAGAATGCCCCAGAATCCAGACATAACGAGGAACTTGGCCTACAAAACAAGGAATAACGGTTAGACTTAATTGTTTACAGAGGCATACCATCACAGCAAATGAGGGCGCACGTAAAGCTGAAATCGCCCCGACTCCCAGCGCCCCAGGCGCATAAGCGCCTCCTTCGGAAAACCCAGTTCGCTCGCCTGTGTTGCCGCTCCAATTCTAAATGAATGCGTGGAGTATAACCTGGGGTCCCCCCCCAATCTAACAATACAACTCCGCAAGAGGCTCGCAAATTGAAAACGGCTCAGGGAGGCCCAATTAGAATGGACCAGCAGCGAGCCTTCAGCGCCGCCCCTGGCGCCCAAGTATGCCCGCAACAAGTACCCCGGACAAAATACACCCCCAGTGAGCCCTATACGGACTCTCGCTCCCGTACCCGCTTGATCCGTCTTGGACCGACGAATCAACAGCGTAACGCACTCTGGTGTCACTGATACGTCGGAAAGCCTAAGGGGTGACACTGAACTCACCCTGGGGGCAACCAGCTCACCGATACGCAGCGCCCCAAAGAAGCACAAGGAGAATGCCACCCGAAACAAAAGTACCTCATACGCAGAGCTACACACATCTGGAAGAACTTCCAACAGCTGGAACAGCATGTCCCCCGAGATCGGTCGCCGTTTGTCAGGAACGCGGCGCTTTTTCCACCCTTTCAAAATACGGGAAACGCAGAAAGCCTTGGTGACATCCGACCATCCTAAAAAACGAAATAAAAAAGAGAGAGCAGCCAGCGATTGCTCAGCTGCTGCAGACGACCTACCTCCGGCACACAAAGACTCCAGGAACGACAGCGTAAGGGTCAATCTGCCGGAGTCTGTCTTCCACGAAGACTCCGATAAGGACCCTCGGATCAATCGCCTCAGATGTCCAAAACCAGGTCCCACAAGTAAGGCGGACACGGGGTTCCCGTCGGCGCCGCCTCCGGAGCCGCCTCCCGAAAACGGTCCCACTGAAACCGAGAAAGAGAGTCAGCAATGACATTTTCCACCCCCGGAACATGCCTGGCTACCAACCACAAATTACATTGAAGACAGAGTAGCACTAGACGCCTGAGCAATGCCAAAACCGGAGGGGACCCAGACGTGGAACGATTGATCACCTGGACCACACTCATGTTGTCCGTGTGAACAATCACCTTCCTGTGCGCCAAGCCCGAACCCCATAATTCTACAGCAACCACAATGGGAAACAATTCAAGAAACGCCAGGTTACCCATCAGCTCCGAACCTCGCCAGGTGGACGGCCACTCCGCCGCGCACCACTTTCCCCGAAAATAGGCTCCAAACCCTATGGACCCCGATGCGTCAGTAAACAGGTCCAATTCACCGTTCGACACCTCCGAGCGCAACCAACAAGAATGACCATTGTACGTACCTAAAAAGGCGCTCCACACCTGTAAGTCCGACCGCAGTCGACTTGTAATCCGGATAAAGTGAAATGGCTGTTTAAACCCCACCGTAGCCAGGGACAAGAGACGACAGAACGCTCGGCCCATAGACAAAACACGGCAAGCAAAGTTCAGATGACCCAAAAGTGATTGCATTAGCTGCAGCTGAACTTTGTTGGAGCCCTTGACTCGGTCAATAAGGCAGAGTAACTGACCCAGCTTGTCCTCTGGTAATCGAAAGACCATCTCACAAGAGTCAATCTCGATCCCCAAGTAAGACAACTTACCCACCGGTCCGAACGTCTTGTCTATCGCCACCGGGACTCCAAATTCTGATGTAATCTGCCGAAATGCCGACAACAAAACCGCACAGTCGTTGCAATCACCAGACCCGACAAACAAAAAATCATCCAGGTAGTGGGTCAACGAGGACAAACCCGACACCTGAGACACGACCCATTCCAAGAATGTCGCACACATCTCGAAATAGGAGCAGGATATGGCACACCCCATGGGCAAACACATATCATAATAAAACAAACCATTAAATTGACAACCCAGAGGATGGAAACAGTCCGGATGAACCGGAAGCAAACGAAAAGCCGACTCGATGTCCGATTTTGCAAGCAATGCCCCCGACCCTGCGTCTCTCACTAATTCCAGGGCCCTGTCAAAGGAAGCATAACGCACCCTGGACACTTCTTTATCAATATCATCATTCACCGACCCACCTGCTGGGTAGGACAGGTGGTGAATGAGACGGAAGACCCCAGGCTCTTTCTTAGGGACCAAGCCCAGGGGGGACACTCGCAGGTTAGGAAATGGGGGCTCAGAAAACGGTCCCGCCATGCGGCCCAAGGACACTTCCTTGTACAATTTTTGCTCAAGAATATCCTCCCTACCCAAAACCGAACGTAAATTGACCGCAAACGACTGCGCCTCAGAAAAAACAAACGGAATCCAAAAACCAAATAAAAACCCGTCTAATAAAATGCCGGCTTCTCGCCGTCTAGGATACCGTCTAGCCACGGGCGCATCCTTTCGACGCTCACCGGCGTCCTCCTGTCTAGGAACGTCGTCCTTGGGGCGCACCCCCGCCTTTCCTTTCTTGAAACAGCGTACGGCGGGATGTGCTCCGCCACAGTGCGAACACTCATGCCGGAACCTGCATGAGTTGTACCACTTACAGTGGGACTCATTAAAGAGCCAACAGACTCCCCTGCGCTGCCCCGCCAGCGCACTAGCCAGTGCGCCGGCTGTCCCTGGAAAGGGGGAGGGCCGGCAAGGCGTCATCAACAGCAGCCATAAGCTGCCATCCTGTACACCAAAATCCATGCCCTCGCTAACCGCCATCTTCTGCCGAAACTGCTGGTCGTATTGGTACCAGCATTGCCCCCCATAAACCTTGTACGCCCCCCAAATGAGATCCAAATAACAGAACAAGGAGGGAGCCTTATCCGGGAAAGTACCCGTTAAGATGCTTGCAAAAATTGAAAAACCCTGCAACCAATTCCCAAAAGTGCGAGGAAGTTGCTTACCTTTCTCCCCGTCACCCATCTCACCTCGCGGCGGTCTATCCACGACTCCCTGTCCGGCGGAACCAGCGCCAAGAAGTCGACGTACTCACCTCGGATTATTTTGTCTCTGACGTCTGCTGCGACATGCAAGCCCAACGGGGACAACTCACAGCCCGGCAACCGCGGACGCAAAATGCCCGTAACCCTGTCCCTGATAGGAATCTGCGCCGCAGATCGCATATCCATACGCGTAGAAGGGGGGACATCGCAAGGTAACCGCTCCAAAACAGACCTCAATAAACTAACTAAATCCCCAGTGCTACCCAACCCCCCTTGACTCACTAAATCACCTTGCCTAAGTAAATCAACTCTGCTGAAATCCCTCTTTTTACCTAACTCCCCTAGCACCTGTGGACTCTGCCCCCTATCATCCCCAGCCAGCGCATCCCAAGCGCTAGCGCAGTACTCACGTGCTGATGCTGCAGGAGGCAGACCGGACCCACTGGGGAACACTGCTTCTTCATCTCCATCTTCAGATCCGGATTGAGTGCTGCTGCCATCTGCTTCCCGCTGCTGGGACCCGCAGGCGCCTGGTGCGCACGTCTGCGGTCC